CGTCAGCTGCTGCTGCACCACCATCAGCTGTTGCTGCACCACTGTCAGCTGTTGCTGCACTACCGTCAGCTGCTGCTGCACCACCGTCAGCTGTACTACTCGAAGATGTGGAGAGAGTGTTGTTGGTGTGGCTTAACGAGAAACAATTACCGAGAAACAATTAACCCCAGGGGGTTAGCCACCCAGGATAACCCAAGAAAGTCAGTGCGTCGTCGAGGACTGTGTAACTTACTTCCATTGGGGTCCTTAATCTTGTCCCCCAGGTTGCGACCCACACCAGACAACTAACACTCAAGTGAACAGGAAAAAATGCCTGGAACTAGTGCTCTTATTGGTGAATTTAAGGCCAGCTAAGGTTGGTTTGAGTGATTTAAGAATCATAGTGGCATATACAGTGTGATAAGACATGGTGAAGCTAAAAAATTCCAACCCCAAGTGTTCAGTTGTGACAAAACAGACCTGTTCTGGAAGAAAGTGCCAAACAGGACCTACATTACTCAGGAGGAAAAGGCACTCCCAGGACACAAGCCTGTGAAAGACAGGCTAACTCTCATGTTTTGTTGTAATGCTAGTGGGGATTGCAAAGTGAAGCCTTTACTCATGTATCACTCTGAAAATCCCAGAGTGTTCAAGAAAAACAGTCTCATCACTCAACAATACTCTTCAATAAAGGTAAGTGTCATTTTAGTATTTATTTATGTATTTATTGTGTATGTCTCATTGTTTTCTTTGTAGGGAAATGTATATTTTATGTAAAAAAAATTATTTTTTTTTAATACTTTTGGCTGTGTGGAACGGATTAATTGGATTTCCATTATTTCTTATGGGGAAAATTAATTTGGCTAACAATAAATTCGGCTAAGGACAAACTCTCTGGAACGGATTAAAATTGTTGGTCGAGGGTCCACTGTAGTTAGTGTGTATAAGGCAGTGTATCTTGTACAATGCCTTTATACAGTAGCCCTCACTTTATTGTCCATAACACAGCATGTTTGGATGTATAGATTGATTGATTGATGCTGTATTTATATAAATTCATTAATGACTGTTTGTTCCCCTAGACACTAGCCCGAAGAGAACGTTACAAGATTGTTACATATGTTACACATCCATGGGTGTTTCGTGACTCTGAGACATCATCTGCTCTTGTGGTCAACTCCGAGGAAACCTTTTATCCTAAGGTATATTAAAACCTCAGCCTCTTTTATCTGTTTTTCTGTTTACAGCATCCTGTGTCATAGTACAGTGCACGCATTCTAATTTCTTGCATTTTGATCTGTTTAAAGTTCTAGCTCTTTTGGTATATTGTTTTATAAAGTAGCTAATTTTTTAATGTTACTTTTTTTTATATATGTATAAACACACTGGCCATCTCCCACTTAGGCAGGGTAACCTGAAAAAGAAGAAACACTTTCAGAAGGTTTTTCTTATTACATTTAGTAATTTATAGTAGAGAAGAGGTTACTAGCCCCTCGCTCCTGGCATTTTAGTCGCCTCTCTCTTTTATTTAATTAGTTCATTGTTATGCCTCCCTATCTCACCTCATTTAGTTCATCCTCTATCATATTTTGTGTTGTACATCAGTACTCAATCATTTTTTTTTGTTTATATAAAATTTATGACTTTTTCTCTGGTCGACTTGATGTTATGCAGTATTCATCTATTTTTGCAACATTCTAGTGAGGTTAGGTTAAGTTGTTGGTAAATTGTAAGGTTTTTCCCTTTAAACTAGAAATACACTGCTGTTTTTGTTGTTTATAGTTGAAAGTGAATTCATCGGTGACTGTTAAATTTATTAATGCAACTTTTATTTAGTTAGGCAAAGTTGGTAAATTGCTTTTGTTCTTTTGACAGTGCTATTTATTTTGTATACAATAATTTCAGCCTGCATTACAACCAGGACAACAAGTGTATGGTCCAGCAAGTCCACGCTACATCATAGCCAACATTTGCATACCTCTGTACAGCCTCAAGGATAGAGCAGCACAGGTGCTTTAAACTGATTTTCTTTATTAATTATAATTCATAATTTGAAAAGTCTTTTTCTTTCTAATTTTCCTTATTTTGTTGACCACACTGCCCAGCTTGTCAGTACATTATCCAGGCATGTTATTAATATAATTTTAGCAAGTGGGGTAAAATTATGTGGGCTTCATAGTGGATCTCCACCACTGGTTGTTATACAGTTTTTCCTGTCATTACTCAAGCATTGAATAATCTTAAACAATAGACCCAGGGCTGCCTTTAATTAGGAAGCACTGTATGACCCTTATGGGTTTAGTGCTCAGTTATGATTATAATAATTCCCCTCATTAGAGTTTGGTAATCAGATTACAGGAGGGCCCCCTTGTATGGCTCTTAGATTCCTGACCCCATGTGGTAAGCTAAAATCGCCAGCAGGTGGAAAAGAGCGGTTTTTTCATTATCAAATGTGTTTAAAATTCCTGTTAACACGTTTACACTATCATGTATTAAGTGCTCGATATAGCTAGGCATAAAATCAGCTAAAAAATTAGAATAAATGCACAGTATATGCAATGCTTAAAATATGGTGCCGGTCATCCTTCCCTTATACAACTGTTGTACAAGCATCGCACATAATGAACAGTGACCCAGTCGAAAGCCAATGAAAACATGGAACACCAAAAAGAGGTGCTGTATATGTAGGTCCCTCCTGTATTATAAACATGGAAGCGGTAAAACCACATGGGGGATGAGAGGTAATCTATTTTGATCCAAGGAAGAATAGCTCAAGTTCCTTGTATCAAGAACTCTTCACCAAAGCCTAGGATACACTGACACCTTCCCTGTGATGCCATCCACAGAAGTCGACTAACACCTGAGTACAGTGGACCCCCGCCTTACGATATTAATTCATTCCAGAAGTCTGTTTGGGTGCCGTTACCGAACGAATTTGTTCCCATAAGGAATATTGTAAATTAGATTAATCCGTTTCAGACCCCCAAAAATACACGTACAAAAGCACTTACAAAAATACACCTACATAATTGTTCGAGTTGGGAGCTGATCATAAGGCGGGGGTCCACTGTATTTATATACTGCTAAGTGAACAGAGGCAACAGGTATAAAGAATTATGCCCAGTGTTTCCACTCATGCTGGGATCAAACCCCAATCTCTCAGTTTTGAGCCAAGGGCACTTGCACTTGACCTCTTTGAAGAGAATGGATTAGTTAGCCGGCATTCTGAAGAATGTATGGGAGACGTTACAGGTTGATGGGTCACGTCATATGTAATGTGATCATAATTCTGGCAAGACAACTATTGAATGAATGATTTTGAATGTATTTCCTTTGGATCACACTACCATAGTGAGAACCTACCATTGCCTGGTTAGCCAGACTTGAGTCCTGGAGGGGGATGTTGTACACTCTGAAGGAGGGGTGGAAATATTTGTAGTTTTGACCCATAGTATTCGTACCCCTCTGGCAAGACAATGATGGAGTAAGTGGTGGTGAAAGTGTTTCTTTTGTTTTGGCTCACCTTGCCTCAGTGGAAGATTGCCAGTTTGTTGAAAAACAAATTTGGCATAGTGTAATTTCTTTCACTTTAAAATTTTCTAAATTTCTACAGTGTTCTGCTGCATTTGCATAACTTGTTCATCTTAATTTTACATTTTCCACAGTTTCATTTTTTTTTTAATTTTCTATGTTCATTTCCATTTCTTAACTTATCTCCAGGATCACAAGACTTAAGGCAATATTTTTGTCCACTTTGAACCTTGAAAGTTTGGTAGTCGTGATGACCAGATTTGTAGGTTGTGCGCTTTAAAAGATTGTCACATGATATGAATTAGAAATACAGTGGTACCCCGAGTGATAAGATAAGATAAGATAAGATTTTGTTCAGATTTTTAACCCCGGAGGGTTAGCCACCCAGGATAACCCAAGAAAGTCAGTGCGTCATCGAGGACTGTCTAACTTATTTCCATTGTGGTCCTTAATCTTGTCCCCAGGATGCAACCCACACCAGTCGACTAACACCCAGGTACCTATTTGCTGCTAGGGTGAACAGGACAACAGGTGCAAGGAAACGTGTCGAAATGTTTCCACCCACCGGGAATCGAACCCCGGCCCACCATGTGGAAGCGAGCCTTTAGCCACCAGGCCACCGGCTGTTCAGTGCCAATACCGAACGAATTTGTTCCTGTGGAAAATAAGTTCCCAAAAAAATTATGCTGTATATTTTTAAATGTAAATATACTGGATTAATTACATTACTACTGTTCTAAAGTGCATTTTAAAGAAGAGAATCGACAGGGAAGCTCTGTGCCTGCGCTGACGAGCAGAGGGAGAGACGCCATTGTTTTTGAATGTTAGTACAAGCAAGTTAGTGTAATGTGCATAATTTTCGTCGCTCTAGGGTTATATTGGGCTTAAAATCTCTCAATAGGAGCTGAAAATTGTTGGAATTGCAGTCCTGCATAACGAGAGAAATCAGGTGACTGGACAGGACCTGTAATTATAGGAAACAGGATTACCCAGCTAAGTTGTCTAAATTGTGTTAGAATTCTGGCCAGTAATTTCTCCATAAATTTAGGCAAGGGGGGTTGGCAATATACAAGTAATCTCCAGACAAATGGGTGAGTCCTTATGATTATAAATTCTCCATTACATAAATTGTGTATATGTAATCATTATTAATTTTTAACATACAGTCCAAATATATAGATTAATGTTACCATAATTCCTGTAAATGGTAATATTTCATTGGGAAAATTAATATAGGCAAGAGTGGACTTGTGGAGAGATAGATTATGGTAGGTATCGAAGGGGACATTATTTTGCGACCTAGTTGTCCCAAAAATTCCTACTCTCTCTTGTAACTTTGATAAAAAATAATTATCTTTGTTACCATTTACTGGTATGTATTTTATGAGTTTACATCCAGGTAATTTAATTTTCCCACAGTTCCCATAAGGAATAATGTAAATTAGACTAGTCTGTTTTCAGACCCCTCAGAAATACACTTACAAACGCACTTTCACAAAGACACTTATATATTATTCGAGTTGACTGTTTGAAACTCGAGGGTGCCACTGTATTTGATTATGTCATTATTAATGTGTTATTAATTGTATTTCAATTGACAGGTTGTGTGGTCTTGTCTGCACAGACCCTCACAAGCTGTGTTCTCTCCTGGAAATTCCCAACAGTTCTTAATGCTTACACTAGCTAAGTGGCCAAACTGTGGTAGTTTAAACAGAGGTAATGGTGATACATTTTGTTTTATAACACCACTAACTAATTGTATTTTAGACAGGATTTTGATGATAAAATAGTAATTGGTTTTTCAAGTTGGAGTATGTATAGCAGTGGGTGGGAGTACGATAGTAACCCACACAGGTTTCTTAATGTAGAGCTATGAACCATAGAACAAGTGAGGTTTGAACCCAGGGCAATGAGGTGGTAACACTCCAAGCCAGTTCATTAACCACTGGGCCAGCTTACTACTATAACATTCATCCAACCAGGTACAGTGGACCCCCGTTCACCGATCAGACTCCCAATGCGACCAAATTATGTAAGTGTATTTATGTAAGTGCGTTTGTACGTTGGAGTTAGGGGGTCTGAAATGGACTAATCTAATTCACAATATTCCTTAGGGAACAAATTCGTTCAGTAATGGCACTGAAACATACTTCGGACTGGAAATAATATCGTAAACCGGGGTCCACTGTATATTTCTACACAAACCAAGTGAAATAATTATTTGGTGTTTGAGTTCCCTTTAGTGTATTGCATATCCAGAATGTCTAGAAAGATTCCTGCTTAGTCACCCGAGAGAAAGGGAAACTTTAAATTTTAAACTGAAATAAAATGAAATAAAAAATAATTTTTTTTTTTTATAGGTAACCCCATACTAAGATAAAAATGGTAGCAAAGAAAAGAACTGGAAATGTCAACCCACAAGTGTTTACCAAGGCCATCCAGAGAGTAGAAAGCTCGACAGACTGGGATGATGAGTTTATGGACCCATTTGATGCTAGAGAATCTTTTGAACGGTGCGCAACATCCGAGATCCAGAACAATCCACTCAACTTTAGAGGAGTTAATGTGTAAGTTTTTTAAATGTGTATTATTCACAATTTTTTTTTTCTTTTTTTTTTTCTTTTTTAGTAAGTCGGCCCGTCTCCCACCGAGGCAAGGTGACCCAAAAAAGAAAGAAAATTCCCCAAAAAGAAATAATTTCATCATCATTCAACACTTTCAACCCCACCACACACAATCACTGATATTGCAGAGGCGCCCAGAACACAACTGTTTAGAATCATATACCTATAATCGATATCACAACATATCCCTCCAACTGCCAATATCCCAAACCCCTCCTTTAAGAGTGTGCAGGCATTGTACTGTACTTCCCATTTCCTAGGACTCAAGTCCGGCTATATAAAATCATCGGTTTCCCTGAATCCTTCCACTAAATATACCCGCTCACACTCCAACAGATCGTCAGGTCCCAAATTACATTCCGTCTCCCATTCACTCCTATCAACACGCTCATCATGCTTGCTGAAGTCCAAAGCCCCCGCCCACAAAACCTCCTTTACCCCCTCCCATCCCAAACCTTTTCGAGGACAACCCCGACCCCACCTTCCTTCCCCTACAGATTTATACACTCTCCAGTCATCCTACTTTTGATCCATTCTCTCTAAATTGACCAAACCACCTCAACAACGTCCCTCTTCAGCCCTCGACTAATACTTTTATAACTCCACACTTCTCCAATTTCACACTCCGAATTTTCTGCATAATATTTAACACCACACTTTGCCCTTAACAGGACTCTCCACTGCCTCCAACCGCTTCCTCGCTGCTGCATTCACATCCCAAGCTTCACACCCATATAAGGAGTGTTGGTACTACTATATTTTCATACATTCCCTTCTTTGGCCTCCATAGATAACATTTTTGTCTCCACATATACCTCAATTTTGTTTTTAGGAACTACAGTGGTCTGAAAGTAAGACAAAGTTGCTGAATGGTTTTGTTGAAATGTGCCCTCCTGAATATTGGCAAAAATTGAATACAGTAATTCCCCCATATCCATGGGAAATATGTTCCAAGACCTACGTGGATAGTAGCGAACCTTATATAAGTTTTTTTTCATTTACGACCTACCGGTGATAAACTTTAATTGATAAATTATGAACAGTAAGTTGAGAATTAGTACTTTTTAACTGATGGGAGCATTTCATGGTTTCTCTTTGGCTTTGGGGACCATTTTTAAGCAAAATTAAGGGGTTACAGGCTACAGTAAATGGTGGATAACCAAACAGTGGAAACCAAACCCATGGATATGGGGTTTCTACTGTATTCCACAATTTTGAAAGCCGATTTCAAGTTACTTCCAGTCCTGGAACCAACAAAATCATCTATATTTCAGTGTATGTCTTCCTTCTATTGTATTATAAAAGAAAACAGCCAATAAAATCATAAAAAAATCCTAGAAAACACCTCAGAGTTTTCGCTTTAAGCCCAAAAACCAAGCCAGAGTTCTGCTTTTCGCATCCTGCACCACACAAGCAGGATTTTTTTTTATACTGTGCACACTCACTGTACAGACCCATTTTCTCATATCTAAGCCAAAATTTGCCACTCTCAGCTTCTCTGAATGAGCCAAGCTCAAGATGTATGCTATGTGAGGGAAACCCTGGCCTCAACAACGTTGATTGAGGGATGGACAGTTTAAAAGGGTTAAGGGAAATGCTCTCCGGTTAATGACACACAATATGAAAACTTAGCAACATGTTCCATACCTCTAAACTCTTGTGCATATCAGATGGATTTTTTTTTTTTTTTTTTGGGTTTTCTATGATTGAATTTTCTTTTTTTGGGTTTTTGAATGCAATCTTTGCAAGAAATTTTTTTTAAAAACATTTGGGGGGCATGAAAAAGCA